GCTGCCTCAATGGGCTGACCTCTCCACTGCACTCGAACTGAAGGGTAACTCTTAGACTTCAGCTGTCGAACCTACCGGGCTAGAATAGCCACCGTCTCCTCCTCGTAAGTTAAATCCTTGTCCAACTGGACAGAGATGAAATCTAACGCGCGGGACGGATCGCCGTGATACTTCCGGAGCATGGACATGTGGAACACCGGATGAACTGTTGATAATCCCGGTGGCAACACAAGCCTGTAAACCACCTCTCCCACTCTCTCCAGAATCTCAAAAGGTCTGATATACCTAGGGCTCAACTTGCCCTTCTTTCCGAATCTCATTACACCCTTCATGGGTGATACCCGAAGAAACACTCTCTCACCGACCCTGAATGAAACATCACGAACTCTATGGTCGGCATAACTTTTCTGCCTGGACTGAGCTGTGCGAAATCGATCCTGAATAATCTTGACCTTATCCGAGGCATCCTGTACTAGATCTGTACCCAACAACCAAGCCTCCCCCGACTCAAACTACCCAACTGGCAACCGGCACCGCCTACCGTATAATGCCTCAAAGGGAGCCATCTGAATGCTCGACTGGTAATTGTTGTTGTAGGCGAACTCTGCAAGGGGCAAGAACTGATCCCACGATCCTCCGAAGTCTACAACACATGCGCGGAGCATATCCTCCAAGATCTGAATAGTGCGCTCGGACTGTCCATCCGTCTGAGGACAAAACTTTGTGCTCAAAGTCAACCCGCGTGCCCAACTTACGCTATACTGCCCTTCAGAAGTGCAAGGTGAACTGCGTACTTCGATCAGAAATGATAGACACGGGCACAGGAAGGAAATGCGTTGACTTAGTCAGCCTGTCCATTATGACCCAAAGTGCATCGAACTTCCTCCGAGTCCGTGGGAGTCCAACAACGAAATCCATAGTGATACGCTCCCACTTCTAGTTCCACTCAGGAATCTCTATCTTTTGAAGCAAACCACCAAGTCTCTGATGCTCGTAATTTAATTGCTGATAATTTAGACACCGAGCTACACATGTAACTATATCTTTCTTCATCCTCCTCCGCTAATAATGCTGCCGTAAGTCCTGATACATCTTAGCGGCACCTAGGTAAATAGACTACTGGGAACTGTGGGCCTCCTCAAGAATCAACTTACGAAGTCCATCCACATTAGGCACACAGACAAGACCTTGCATCCTCAAAATTCTATCATCTCGAATAGTAACCTGCTTGGCACCACCATGCCGCACTGTATCCCTAAGGACCAATAAATGAGGGTCGTCATACTGCCGATCTCTGATGCGCTCAAACAAAGAAGACCGAGCGACTGTACAAGCTAGAACACGGCTGGGCTCTGAAATATCCAACCTCACAAACTGGTTGGCTAAAGTCTGAACATATAATGCAAGCGGCCTCTCACTGACTGGAATGAACGCAAGGCTGCCCATACTCGCTGCCTTTGTACTCAAGGCATCGGCCAACACATTGGCCTTTCCGGGGTGGTACAAAATAGTAATATCATAGTTTTTCAATAGTTACAACCACCTCCTCTGCCTCAAATTGAGATCCTTTTGCTTGAACAAATACTGAAGGCTCTGATGATCCGTGAAAACCTCACACGACACACCGTAAAGATAGTGCCTCCAAATCTTGAGCGCATGAAAAAATGGCTGACAACTCTAAGTCATGGATAGGGTAATTCTTCTCATGAACCTTCAACTGCCGCGACGCATATGCAATCACCCTGCCCTCCTACATCAATACCGCACCGAGCCTAACACGGGACGCATCATAATATACCATATAAGATCCTGAACCTGTGGGCAACACCAACACTGGCACTATAGTCAAAGCAGTCTTGAGCTTCTGAAAGCTCGCCTCACACTCGCCTGAACATCTGAACGGGGCACCCTTCTAGGTCAACCTGGTCAATGGGGTTGCTATAGGTGAAAACCCCTCCACAAATCGACGGTAATAGCCCGCCAAACCCAAGAAACTCCTGATCTCCGTAGCTGAAGTTGGTCTAGGAAGGTTCTGAACTGCCTCAATCTTCTTAGGATCTACCTGAATGCCCTATGCTGATACAATGTGCTCCAAGAAAGCGACTGAATCCAACCAAAACTCGCATTTTGAAAATTTAGCATACAACTGGCTGGCTCTCAGAGTCTAAAGTACAATCCTGAGATGTTGCTCCTGCTCCTCTCGCCTGCGGGAGTAGATCAAGATATCGTCAATAAACACGATCACAAAGGAGTCCAAATAAGGCTTGAACACTCGGTTCATCAAATCCATGAATGTTGATGGGGCATTTGTCAACCCAAATGATATCACCAGAAACTCATAATGCCCATAACGAGTTCGAAAAGCTGTCTTAGGGACATCAGATGCCCTAATCCTTAACTGAGGATAGCCAGATCTCAAATTAATCTTCGAAAACACCTTGTCACCCAGAAGTTGATCAAATAAATCATCAATCATCGGCAATGGATACTTGTTCTTGATGGTGACTTAGTTCAACTACCGATAATCTATACACATCCTCATCGATCCATCTTTCTTCTTCACGAACAACACGGGTGCACCCCCAGGGCGAGACATTAGGTCTAATGAAGCCCTTATCAAGCAAATCTTGCAATTGTTCCTTCAACTCTGGCGGGGCCATGCGGTATGGCAGAATGGAAATGGGCTGAGTACCCGGAGCCAAGTCAATATAGAAATCAATATCCCTGTCGGGTGGCATCCCCGGCAGGTCTGCAGGAAATACCTCTAGGAACTCACGAACAACTGGCACCGAATCCATGGAAGGAACCTCCGCACTAGAATCGTGAACATAAGCCAAATAACCCAGACACCCCTTCTCGACCATATACCGAGCCTTCACATAAGAGATAACCCTGCTGGTAGAATGGCCAGGAGTCTCTCTCCACTCTAATCGAGGCAACCCCGACAAGGCTAAGGTCACCATCTTGGCGTGACAATACAATATAGCATGATAAGGTGACAGCTAATCCATACCCAAAATGACATCAAAATCGACTATATCGAGAAGTAGAAGATCTACACTAGTCTCAAGACTCCCAATGGTGACCAAACACGAACGATAAACAAGATCTACAACAATAGCATCTCCCACAGGTGTGGACACATACACATGAGCACTCAAAGAATCACGAGACACAACCAAATATGAAGCAAAATAGGATGACATGTAGGAATAAGTAGAACCCAGATCAAATAGAACTGAAGCATCTCTACTACAAACTGAAACAGTACGTGTGATAATGGCGTCAGATGATTAGCCTCGGGCTTAGCTGGAAAAGTATAACACCGGGGTTGGGCCCTATCACCCTGAACTACGTCCCCGGGACGGCCTCTAGCTGGCTGGCTTCCACCTCTAACGGCCTGACCTCCACCTCTAACAGTCTGGCCTCTACCTCTGGCTGCCTGACCCCTGCCTCTGGCTGGCTGAGCAGGTGGTGCAGTAACTGGTGCCGGAACAATGGCACGAAAGCCCTGATGTTGTGAGCTACCCGATGCCCGAGGGAAAAATCTAGCAATGTTCCTCGGATCACTACAAGTATAACAGGACCTCGGCTACTGTGACTGCTGACCCTAAAACTGACTTTGTCGACTTGAGTAACCACCCTGAAAACTCTAAAGCGGAGGTGCACTAATAGGAGCTGGTAGTGCATTGTAGGCTAGCTAGTCGGAATAAGGCATATGAGGGCCACGACCACCTGAGGCATCGTGGGATGCCTAGAGTGCCGAATGAAATGGCCTGGGAGGATGGCCTCTACCAAAAGTACCCCTGCCTCTAGATGAGGCACCGGNAAATGGGTCTCATACTGAGTAACAGTCATACTGCCCTGCTGGAGACGCTCGAACTGACGACGATGATCCTCTCTCAATGTGATAGGAAGAAACTTCTCTAGAAAGAGCTGAGAGAACTGGTCCCAAGTAAGAGCAGGAGATCCAGCTGGTCTGGTCAACAAATAATCTCTCCACCATTTCTTGGCGGAACCAGTCATCTAAAATGTAGCAAAATCGACCCCATTGGTCTCCATTATACCCATGTTCTGTAGCACCTCATGACAGCTGTCAAGATACTCCTAGGGATCCTCTGAAGAAGCACGACTGAAGTGAACTGGAAAGAGCTTGGTAAATCTGTCCAATCTCCATAAAGCCTTAGAAGACATAACTGACCCATCACCGGTCTGTGCCGCAATAACTGACTGAACTACTCTAACTGGATGAGCGGCTGTAGTCTGATACTGGGGAGCCATCTGCTCCGGAGTGTGAGTAGCAGGAGTCTGTGCTCCTCCTCCAGCCTGAGAGACGGCTGGTGCCATGGGGAATGTGCCAGTGTGGGCCACATTCTCCATAAGGCCTACCAAACAAACCAAAGCATCTTGAAGCACTGGGGTGGCAATGAACCCCTCTGGGACCTGAGCTGGTCCGACATGCACATTCTGGGATGGAACCTCCTCATCAAACTCTATATGAGGCTCCACCGCTAGTGCTTCTGCTCGAGCTCTGGGCTGAGCTCTACCCCTGCCTCGGCCTCTGGCACGGCCTCGACCTCTACCCCTAGTAGGAGCTGCCATTGGAGGCTCTGGCTGCTCAGCTGAAGATGCGGTACGTTTCCTCTCCATCTGCGAGAGAATAAATGTAGAAGAATTCAATTAGCATTGAGAGAACAAAAATCGCATGACACAGAAGAATAGAAGTGAAATTTGTTCCTAAACTTCATAGCCTCTGGAAGATAAGCACAGACGTCTCCGTACCGATCCTCCAGACTCTACTAAGTCTGCTCGTGAATTGTGAGACCTAGGCAACCTAGTGCTCTGATACCAACTTGTCACGACCTGGAATTCTCACCTTTAGGACCGTGATGGCGCCTAACATTCTACTTACTAGGCAAGCCGACGTTAGAGAATTATTAATCCAATCTTTATTCAATTCAGTAAATAACAGCAAATAAAATAAAATGAAATACAGCGAGTGCGAAATGATATAAGAACTTCATTAATTACTACCACCCGGATCTGGAGTCACAATTCACGAACTTCTAGGATTTACTATAAGTACAAGTCTGAAAGAAATACAACTGTTTGAATGAAAGAAACAATAAAGAAAAAAAATATAGACACGGACTTCAAGGTCTGCGAACGCCAACAGTTCTACTTCGAGACTCCGATGAACCAATCTGAGCTGCTACGCCTCTCGATCAACTGGGACCAATACCAAAATATGTACAGAAAGTGAAGAGTGCAGTATCAGTACAACCGACCCCATGTACTGGTAAGTGTCGAGCCTAACTTCGACGAAGTAGTGACGAGGCTATGACAAGACACCTACATAACAAACTTGTGCAATTTAACAGTATATGTACAAATAACAGCTAAACATGTACTATTGGGAGGGGGAACATGCTGAGGGGAATACGAGATAGAGAACTACAACAAAATGGTAACTTGAATAGCCAATATACTATGAACCAATAAGAACAAGTAAATACAGTAAAGAAAAAAATACACGGCATCACCTTTCGTGCTTTTACTTTCAACCTCACCATAAAATCAATAGAAACGGCACGACATCACCCTTCGTGTATTAACTCTCATAACATAGCACGACATCACCCTTTGTTCATTAACACTAACAATGTGGCATGGCATCACCCTTCGTGCATTAACACTCAGAATATGGTACGTCATTACTCTTCGTGCATTAACGCTCTCCCTTACCATAATACAATGAACAAATAATAAAAAGGAGATAGAATAACAAGTATAAGCCTCACTTCAATATTTGGTTACACAATATCAACCTCAACTTCGGAATCAATACTCAATTATCACCAAATGATCCGTAAATATGATAAAAATGATCAATTTAACAATGCNCCTTTAGAATCCACCTCCAAACCACTCGTATCTATCCACAAATGACTCAATAATATCAATTATTACTAAAGGAATCAATTACAATGCATAAATTTAGATTTCCCAAATTTTCCCCCAAAAAGTCAAAAATCGACCCCGGGCCCGCTTGGTCAAAACATGAGGTTCGGACCAAAATCTATTTACCCATTCACCCCCGAGCCCGATTATATAATTAGTTTTAAAATCCGACCCCAAATTAAGGTCTAAATTTCCAATTTGCAAAAACCCCTAATGCTTCCTAAATCCCTAGTTTTCTACCACGAAAGAACAAAGATTATGACTAGGAATTTAATGGGTGATGATAGAAATGGAAGAAAATGAGTTAAAGAGTACAAACCTATAAATTGGTGTTGAGTTTTCCCTTCAAAATCTCATCTAGGCCGAGCTCTAAAGGAGAGTTTATGAAAAATGGGAAAAATTCCGTTTTTGAAATGTTTTAAGGTTTGGGCGTCAGGCCTTCTTCGCGTTCGCGAAGGGCCTGCCGCGTTTGCGATGTGCAGCAGCCCAAATGGCTTTCGCGTTCGCGAGTTCCTCTTCGCGTTTGAGAAGGCTGTTCCCCCTGGTCTCCGCGTTCGTGAGCCAATGCTCGCGTTCGCGTAGAAGAACGAGTGTCCCCTCCCCCAGGTCCCTGAAGCTTCGCAAGAAGCTGGTCACGTTCGCGAAGGGTAAGCCCATATTGCCTCGCGTTCGCGACCTAGCTACTGCGTTCGCGTAGAAGAAAATCATCCTGTCCCATTTTACCTTTCGCGTTCGCGAGAGTACCTCCGCGAACGCGATGAAGGAAACACCAGATAACAGTTGAAACCAAAAACCAGATTTTTCTAAGTTTCAAAACACCCATAACCTATCCAAAACTCACCCGAGCTCTCAAGGCTCCAAACCAAACATGTACACAAGTCCAAAAACATCATACGAACTCGCTCGCGCGAACAAAACACCAAAATAATGCCTAGAACTACGAATCGGACACCAAATCAAATGAAATTTTCAAGAAGACTTTAAAACTTCTATTTTCACAACCGAACGTCCGAATCACGTCAAACTAATTCCGTTTCTCATCAAATTTTACAGACAAGTCATAAATATAATAATGGACCTGTACCGAAATCCGGAACCAAAATACGGACCCGATATCAACAAGACCAAATATCAGTCAATTCTAAAAATTATTAAACTTTCAAACTTTAAGTTTTCATCAAAATTCCATATCTCGAGTTAAGGACCTCGGAATTCGATTCCGGGTATACGTCCAGGTCCCAAATTACGATACGGACCTATCGGGACCATCAAAATACGGATCTGGGTCCGTTTACTCAAAACGTTGACCGAAATCAGCTCAAATTAATTTTTAAGGCAAAAATTCTTATTTTTATTAGTTATTAACATAAAAGCTTTCCAGAAAGACGTCCGTAATGCACATGCAAATCGAGAAAGGTTAAAATATGATTTTTAAGGCTTCGGATCACAGAATTAGGTTTCAAAACATGAGATGACCTATCAGGTCATCACAACATGTCCTCATGACCCTGTCATTTTTATGTCTTTATTCCGATGCGTGTTTTTCCGACATTGATTACGACAAAATTATTAATCTTGGTTAGATCTAATATTGAGTTAGATTACGAAAAAAAAGTTTATCCATCTTTATTGTGAAAGAAAATGCCTCGTTGTAGCTTAATGGTAGTAAGACAACATATGGATACTATGTATATTGAACAAAACCAGCATTGTTAGTAAAAACAAATTAAAAAAAAAGGCTGATTTTAATTATTGACAAACCTGGCCAGCACTTGGATTTAATTGGCAGTGGGCTGCCTTGAAAGGATATGGGCCACCTTAGTCAAATTATTGGATTAATTAGTATGGCAGCACATTTATCGCTTTCAACAATTTCAACTCAACTTTTCATCAAACGAACTTAAACACAAAATATTAAAGCCATGTGCTCATTGAATTAGAAAGAGAAATCTTTTCTTGTTTCCAGATTATTTCCTTCACTACTACATTTAATTCATTCACTACCAAACCTTCCATTCTAAGTAAGATCAGACCAAGTAAAATTCCAATTCTTCTAATTATTTAACATGACTCCAAGAGGATTAAACTGATGACGTTAAGAGCATGGATTACCCATATTTCATGCATTTATTCAAACTAATTGCAAATAAAAGAAAAAGGATGAACAAATCAAAACAAGAAAAGTATTTGCAACCTACTGACGGAAAGAAGCAAAGAATTTAATTTGAGAAGGAAGGAATCAGTTAAAGCAAATGTAATATTGAAAGATTAGATAAAAGAATAGATCTTTACAAAAGCTCCTTCATGAGAATGGTCCTCTAGAAAATCTCTTTTAAAATAAACATCAGAAACTAATCAATGACTGGGGAAAGGATTGTGTTGGAAAAATATGGTGAGTACTTTCCTTTCTCTTTTTCTTTTTTAAAGTTGCGGCATTCTTAACTCTTTGTCATGTGCTAAGTCTCTATGCTACTTAACAGAGAACTTGAAGTTGAAATCATGGGCATTAAAACTACTTAACAATATACCCTACTTCATATGTGTACAAAACAGCAAAACTGAAACTTCAAACAAGAGCATAGGATTCTTGAGCAAACAAGGATTTTACCATTTTGATCAATCATGCGAAAGGAAACGAATGAAAGAAACAAACAAAAGAAAATCTGAAACAAACTCATGAGTCATGGTTTTATTCATTCATATCTAGCACATGATTTACACTACATGGTTAGAGTAATACCTTGGTAGCAGAAAGATATAGAAACAACAATGAAGACTTAGAAAAATCTTCGACTACCGAACTCAGCTAAACCGCAAAACAGCAGAGAAACCCAGCTTTGTGATCCAAGAATAACCCAGAAAAACCAGCAAGAAGCACATGAGACTAATCCCTCTAGTAATTTCAAGAATCACCTAAGAGATCCTTTTATTTTTGCACTCTAAGATTTCACTCAGAAAAACTCACAATTTTCAGCTTACTATTAGGTGTTCAGCTGCCCTTTTTACTCTTCAAAGTTGTGTCTTTATTTTTTTTAGTAGAGATTCCCATTTTCCTCATGTTGTCCCCCTCTTTCCTCCTTCCCTTTTGACTTTTGTTATTTTTCTTCTTTTTCCAAAGAATCCCCCTTTTTTACTTTTTGTTGTGTGTTATATACTGGTGGTGTAAAATGAACATCTCAGGCAACTTACTTGAAGATGCCTAAATGGGGACCGTGGTACTAAAAAAAAAAAGAGCACGTTGTTGTATTTGAAGAAAAAAAAAGTAATAAGATGAACTATACTATTAAATTGATAAAATAAAATACTATTAAATCAAAATAATAAGATGAACTAACTAAAAAAACTATTTCTCGTCAACGAAACAAAAAGTATATAAAAATAACTACTAACGAAAATTGCAAAAGTACTAACTTACTAATTTGGACCGAATAAACAAAGATATACTATTGTATATTTTCTCTCTTTTGCAAATGCAAATAAAACTTACACTAAAATGTGAAATTTTTTTATATTTTTTTAATTTTCTTAACTAAAACCTATAAAAAGTGAGACAAAAGCTAAAATATTAATATTACCTAAAAGAAATAATTAATGTCAAAATAGTATAAAATTTAAATTCAGTCAAAAATTAGGTGCTCACAATAATTACATTGTGTAATTATAAGGTTACTTTTTAATTTCTTTTCTTTTCATTTTTATTTTAATTTATTTTCTTTATAACTATTTATTTCAGTTATTTTTTTTTATTATTTTTTTTAAAAAAAATTCTTTTTTAATTTTAAAATATATTTTCTTTGTACATTATTTATTTTTTATTTCTCTACCTTTACTTCTTGTGATTCCATGTAATTGCTCGTATATTTTATTTCTTATTTATTTTATTTTCTTCATTTAGCGTAAATGCATTATTATTCTAGTTTTTCAAACTACACCTCCTAATATTAAAATCAATGAGTCATTAACAAACTTGGCATATAATGAGTGATGTCATTAAAGTAAAATTTCGTTGTTGAATGAGGTTATAAACTTATTATATTTCTTAATCTTAAATTTTATTGGAACTTATTTTTATTATGTTGGAATTTGACATATGTCAAATTTTTTTTTGTTTTTTTGAGATTTTGAAATTGTGTTATATTTATGGTTCCAATTTACTTATTTTAGTAGCATATGCTTGTTATTTCACATTGCATGTTGTTCATTTTTTAGTTAGAATTGATAGATTAGTTTTGTGAAGCATTTGCATAATATTATGGCATTATATTTATAAATATTAATTTATTTTATCAAACATGCATTCCATGATATTCTTGCAAAACGTATGTTTTTTGTTTTTATAATTAATTAAACTAAATATTATTAATTAAAGAAAATTTATATCAGTTATTTTTACAATATTAGTTATAAATATATGATTACTAATTAGTGTATATTCAAGAAAAAATATGCATTTTAAATACCAAATCTAATATCATTTATACTCATAAAAAATCATTTATAGATATTTAATTATTATATTAACTTTTAAGTTTCGATAATTATTTCATTTAAAATTTAATCTTACTGTGTAATTATATTTGTCCAATCAAACAATACGCTTATAATTACACTGTAATTATGTTATGACAAGCAAACAAGTCGTCGTAATTACTAGGCTGTATAATTATTAAACTGTTTAATTACTATCTTAATAATTATACCAATTTCAATTATCGAGTGTCTTTCCAAATAGATGAGTGTAAGGTTAAAGAGAAAACGTTGATAGGAGTGTTACTTTAATACTTTAATCAGGCAAAGTAATGACTTTTTGGTCAACGGAAAGCTAAGAATAGAAAAGTATTACTTACTAAGTATTTTCTTTATATCCACAACTAAAAACATTGGCTTGTCAGAGTAACAAGAAATTATGGTCCAAATAATTATTATTTTTTACTGTATGAGTTCAAATTGGTTGATAACAAGTGGCTAAACATCGGGTGACATGTGAAATCGAGAACAAATAAAAGTTGTATCGGCAAATAATCAATACCTTTATAAAGTACGTAATCGGTACAGGACGGATCCCGAAGGAAGCACAATCGATGGTAAAGACTCAAAAGCTTGACATCGGATATCACTAAATGAGCAGTCATTAAAGAGAATATTTGCATTCAAGGTCAGCCGTTATGCATCCATCAATGACATTTTTATTTTCATTCAAGAGGAGCTTGATTTTAGGATCTTGTCTCTCTCGGTAGAGCTATAAATAATAGGATTAGCAGCCATTGTAAGGACAATAAACATTCTGCACATAAAACTGTACTTCACTAATTTTCGCTAAATCTAATGAATTTTATCATATGTCCTATCTTTGTTTCTGCTTTGCTTTCAGAAAGACCGAGCCCAAGATCAGGTTTGCCTTTTCTCTTTAATTTTAGTCGTTAATCTTATTTTTATTCTATTTTATTATTTTTTTGTGATCAAATCAGATCGCTTGTCTATAAATCATACTATAAATTTAACTGTACAATTTTACGGGTAAACAAGTATATGATAGATTTCAACTAAAGAGATCCTTGAAATTCCAAACACAATGCGCAGGCAAAATGTGAGAGGAACCAGGTGGCAAGTAGAGTATCTGTGATTTTCCAATTCTGGGACTACGAGCATATAATTAATCTCTTATCCGAGTAATGACGCACCATGTGCTCTTTTCATTTGGCCAAAAAATCTCAACTCCTGCTTTGTAATCCCATTACCAAAAAAAAAACTCTTTGCTTTGCGCATTCTTTCCCATTTTGTTTGTCAAGCTTTTGTAAGCTAGCTATGTCTCTTCAAAGTAATGAATACAAAATTATAGGGGTTAAATTCACCGATAATTATCCAACTTATCATTTATTTTACAAAAGTTACTTATCTATTTTTCATCATTTAAAAGTCACTCAACTTTACTTTTGTAACTTAAAAGTCATTCTACTTCAAAACCTATAAAATATCCTATAAAAATATGACATGGCATTAAATTTAATTAAAAATCTAAATATAGTGCCACATAAGCTTAGATGGACCATACCCAATTTAGACCCATTTCATCCATAATTTTATTTGATCCATAACCCAAATGGGTTTTAATATTTTAAACATTAGAAGGAAAAGAAGAGAACAATTATTTTGTGCTAAAAATATCTTACTTTATTTGTTACGTAATAACCTTAATGTCATCACCTATAATTTTATTAAAATTATGAACATAACTAGCACATAACTAGTTTTTGCATCCTTCATATCATTTTATAATTTTTCATGAAGTTAAAATACTACCATATCAATCTCACATAACATATAAATATACCAGTAACAGACAAGAACAACAAGCTAATAAGAAGTTATTTTTACAAAATTGTAACGACCTGACCGGTCGTTTTGACCATTCACGCTCCTTTCAACTATTTAAAATCTTGAGTAAATTTCAACGAGGTATTATGACTTGTGTGAATTGTCGGTTTTAATTTTTAAGGTATTTCGGAGTTAGCTTGGAAGAATGAATTTTCATGTTGGAATTTTAGTTGAAAAGGTTGACCGGATATTGACGTATGTGTAGTGACCCGGAGAATTTTTGCTAAGGAAATCAAGGTTTTGTGGTGTCGAGGTAAATCAATTAGTATAAAGGTTGTAGAAATTTGGCTCGGACTTTTTAGGTTGAACAATGCATCGATGTGTAAAGGAAAATTTTGTCAGAAAAGGGTCATTTCTGCGACCAATATGCGGTCGCAGAATCACTCTGCGGACCACATAATGGTCGCAAAGTGGACCAGGAGAGGGGCAAGATTTGAGAAAAATCTGCGGTGTACTAAGCGACCGCAGACCTGTTTTGCGGTGCATTATGCGACCGCAGAACAAGTATGCGGACCGCATAATGATCGCAGACCAGGTCAGTAACGCCCAGCTTTGGAGGCCAAATTATGCGGCAGGTATGCAGACCGCATACCTGTTATGCGATCGCATATGCGACCGCAGAACAAGTATGCGGACCGCATAATGATCGCAGACCAGGTCAGTAACGCCCAGCTTTGGAGGCCAAATTATGCGGCAGGTATGCAGACCGCATACCTGTTATGCGATCGCATATGCGACCGCAGAACAAGTATGCGGACCGCATAATGATCGCAGACCAGGTCAGTAACGCCCAGCTTTGGAGGCCAAATTATGCGGCAGGTATGCAGACCGCATACCTGTTATGCGATCGCATATGCGACCGCAGAATCTGTTCCGCAGCTTCATTTTTCTAGTTTTATAAACTCGACCCCATTCTTATAAAACACTATTGAGGGTCATTTTGAAGGGTTTTCATCTGATGTTTTAGAGAGAGGTGAGAGCATTTTAGAGAGAGAAAGTGAAGACTTAATCATTTATCCATCAATTCTTGTTCAAGGTTTGAAGATTTCTTAAGGATCTTGCTAGGGCTTCAAAGAGGTAAGAATTTCTTTCCTCAATTCTTCAATTTCGGGTTTGGTGATTAATAGTATGATTCTTGGGTGTAAGAGTATTATGTATACATACCAATAAGGTTGTGAAAGGATTGTTAAGTTCAAATGGGTAAGGATTGGGTTGAAAATGGTAGAAATCTTCATAGACTTTAATTGAAGATTTGAGGGTCGAGTTGATGTCGGATTTTGGTAAAATTTATATGGTTGGACTCGTGGTTGGATGGGCGTTCATATTATGTAACTTTTGTCGGGTTCCGAGATGTGGGCCCTACGGGTAATTTTTGAGTTAATTTCGGATTTTATTAGAAAAATTAGTATTTCCTTATGGAATTAATTATAAGAATTTATATTGACTGAATCGAATTAATTATGGCTAGATACGAGGCTTTCGGAGACCAATTCTCGTGGCAAGGGCTTATCGGAATAAATAATTATACGGGTTGAGGTAAGTAACAATTATAAATATGGTCCTGATGGTATGAAACCCCAGATTTTGATATCATGTGATTATTTTGGAGGTGGCGCACATGCTAGGTGATAGGCGTGTGGGCGTGCACCGAGAAAATTGTGACTTGGTCCGTCCCGAAAAACTGTAAAGTTGAATAATTTATTGTTAGCTATATGATCTCTATGTGTTGAAGAAATTTGACAATAAATCATATTAGAAATCATGCTTAGGCTATGTTATAGTACTGTTATGACCCGTAGAGGTCGCATACTTGTTGAATTATTTGTCAATTGTTGTCTTGTACTCAGTCATGATTTTTCTTGCGTATTATACCTCGGTCTTTCTGGATATTTGTTAATATACTATGTTATCTTTGTTTGGGCTGATCTTTGTGATTTCTGAGAGCCCGAGAGACTTGAGAGGTTGAGGACTGAGTAAGGCCGAGGGCCTGTCGGTGAGGTAATGATATTATTGCACGTGAGTTGTCCGTGCAGGATATTATAGCACGTGAGTTGTCCGTGCAGCACGTGAGTTGTCTGTGCAGATTATGGCACTTGGGCTGTAGGAGCCCCTCCGGAATCTGTACACACCCCCAGTGAGCGCGGGTACCCATTGAGTGTGAGTGCTAAGGGCTGAGAGCCGAGTGATGAGTTGAGTGATTGTTGCCTGAGAGGCTGTACTTGCTTTGCATTTGTTGTTGCACTTGGTTGCTATTTGTCATTGTTGTGAAATCTCTGAAAGATTGTTGATATACGGATTACATGAACAGGAACTGTATAAAAAAAATAATTTAACTTAAACTGCCGGATTTGAAAGCACGTCTATTCTTTGCTGAAATTACTGAAAGTGAACTATAACTGTGTAGCTCATCATTATCTTCAGTTCCTTAGTTATTTTTATTACTTGCTGAGTTGGTTGTACTCATACTACACCTTTCACTTCGTATATAGATCCAGGTATTTTCGGACATAGCGGGTGTTGATCATTTTGCGCAGTCGAATTTTGGGAGATTTTTAGGTAGCTGCCATGTTCTGCAGACCTTGTCTCTCCTTCTCTATATCTTTGTATATTGTATTTGGTCTCAAACTATTATAGATCGTATTTTCCAGACTTGTATTCATATTAGATGCTCATGTACTCAGTGACACCAGGTTTTGGGAGTGATTGTATCGGTAATTGTAGGATCTATGGATTTTATTGAAATATTATATTTTCAAACTTAAGAGAAATTGTGGTTTATTGAGATTTTCGGCTTGCCTAGTATTAAGATATGCGCCATCACGACAAGTGAGATTTTGGGTCGTGATATTACTATTCCATTAAAGTCAAAATATTGCTTATTAAGTAATACTAACAGACAAAAATACTGCTCAGTAAGAAACATCCACAATGAAATTGCATAGTAGAAGTTTTTAATACATACCGCAATCATAGACAACCTATAGCGATAGTTTGGACAAAAGAAAGAGACAACATATTGTGTCATTGACCGTAAATGTGCAACCAAAACTTAAAGATAAATCAAAAGACCTAATTTTTCTTAAATTTCTTAGACTTCTTTTTCTACAAATTAACCACAAAATCAAAGTGCTAGTCCAGTTAATTGTTCAAATATTAATAACCTATTTTGGTTATAGGTCAAATCGGGCTGAGGAAGAAATGAGTCTAACTTAGATATGGCCTATTTAAGCTTATGTGGCATTATTATTAGATTTTTTAATTAAATGTAATGTCATGTCATATTTTTTATTGGATATTTTATAGGTTTTGAATTAGAATGACTTTTAAGTTACAAAGGTAAAATTGAGTGATTTTTAAGTGATGAAAAATAAATAAATGACTTTTATGAAATAAATGATAAGTTGGATGAGCTTAAGTGGAATTAATCCAAAATTATAGTACTCATCATTTAAGGGAAAATTGGACTATGTTGAGCGCTGCACACAAAAATCTAGAATATGTTATCATCCAATCCACGTCAAATGTGTTCATTTAATTTGTTGGTTATTTTAATCTTCTTTCTTTTACCTTGGAAGTTGAACGTAAGAATATTAAACTTGATACCGTTTTTTGCGTTCTTTTTTAGACTTATGCAAGAGCATCTTTATGTTATATAAGTTCTAAGTATTCCAAATCTACTGGATCTTTGCTTGATTTGTTTGTTACATCGGTCCAAAAATATCAGGAGAAATTCAAAAATAGACAGATTTATAAGTGGTAATTGAAAAATAGTCACAGTTTCAAAAATAATTAAAATTTAGCCACTTTTCATGTAAAGATAAATCTGAACGAAAACATTGTTTAAAATACGAAAAATATTCCAGCATAATATACTGGAGTTCCAGTATATTATTATACTGGAGTTCCAGTATAATATACTGGAACTCCAACATAATATACTGGAGCTCCAGTATAATATACCGGTCCAGCATAATATGCTGGAAGTTCATACACATGTGCTCCAATCTCCAGTGTATTATGCTGGAACTTTTCGCGTGTTGGAGTTCCAGCATAATATGCTGGAAGTTCATACACAAGTGCACAAATCTCCAGTATATTATGCTGGACCGGTCTGTATTGCAGCAAAATAGTGGCTATTTTTCAATGACTTTGCAAACGGTGACTATTTTTGAATTAGCAGTCCGAAAAATAGCTATCTCGTGTTATTTTTACAAAAATATCCACTTGTTCACTTTTTCCACTAGTATGTCCACCTATGTAACAATGAGTATCACATAAACTAAAATAATTTATTTGTCCTTCACGCAAAGTAAAATTTGTCGCCACCAAGATAAAGGTTGAATAATTTAGACATTTTGAAACCCAGTTTTAAAAAAATTCCCAACCGACCTAACGGAGAAAAATTAAAATAACCAAAAAAGCAGAAAAGAGAAGATGATAAACTTTATGCAATTACAACTTCTTAATTGTTTTTTTTATGCTGAACTTCCCCTTATCTTCAAACTCTTCAATAGCCACCATATTATTTTCAGCATTTGTCACCTAACCTCTTGCTCCAAATATTTTCCTTTTCCTGACTACCCAACATGCTTGTGCTGGAGTGGCCATATTCTTCAGGTCTTTGCTTTTTTTGTAGATTGCATGAATCCATTGCACCCAGAGTTTGTACTTTTTATCGATTGCTCAAAGAAGCTTGCATATTGCAGCTTTGTTCCATATAAAAAAATCTAAGATACTCACTCCTCCTACAATCTTAGGCATACATAGTGTACTCCAGGCAACTAATGCTTTTATAGAAAATTCATTGCTTCCTGTCCAAAGAAAATTCCTACACACAGTTGTTACCATTTTGAGAATCTTTTTTAGAAGCAGGAATACTTGTGCCCAATAAGTCTGCATTCGAAAATAACACTTTTTATAAGCTGGACTCTTCCACTGTAGTATAGGAACTTTGTAGTCCAATACTTAATTCTAAAATTGATCTTTTCAATATGGAAGACATTGAGCCATTCACAGTTTTCTAGATGCTAATGGAACTCCCAGATACTTGAATGGCATCTCCCCTGTGGAAAAGTACATGTCTTGTAGATCTAGGTCTTGAATTCAGGGGATACACCAGCAACGTAGAAGGAACTTTTCTTCAGATTTGCTTTTAGCCCAGAAATAGTAGAGAAGTGCTGGAAAGCTTGCAACAACAATTGTATGGAGAATCTGTCTGCTCTACAGTATATTAGCAAGTCATCAGCAAAACACATGTGCACTAACCCTTTGCTTGCATACCTGGTATGGTAGTTGAAATCTGGATTATACCTGAGTTGTTTGAGAGGCCTGTTTAGGTACTCCATTGCCAAAACAAACAAATATGGAGACATAGGTTCTTCGTGCCTTAATCCCTTCTTAGCCTGGAATATTGGAGTCCAACCACCATTTATCAACAAGGAGTAACTAATTGTAGAGACACATGTCATAATAAGTTCCACCACTTTCAATGGAATGCCATACTCCAGTAATACCATCTTTAAGAAATTCCAATTCACTGAGTCATAGGCTTTCCTTATATCTACTTTAACCATGCATCTGGGGGACACACCTTTCTGTGAATATCCCTTCACTAATTCATGAGCAACAATAACATTATCAAGTATATTCCTCCCCTCAATAAATGCAGATTGTGTTGGTCCCACCAAATAATCCACTACCCTTTTCATTCTACCAGTCAGCACCTTTGCTATCAGTTTGTATATGGTGGAGCAATATGTAATATGCCTGTAATCCTGTACATAAGTAGGATTAGCAACCTTGGCGAGTTTTGGTGTCGGACAAACACATCCTACCTAGGCATCGCTTTATCCTTTGGCTAGCTGTCCATAAGAGGTTGTCAACAGTTGATAGATTGATGAAATGGGGTATAAGAGTTCCACAAGAATATGTCTTGTGTAATTCTCATGAAGTGGAATTACTAGCTCATCTCTTCTTTGCCTGCCCCTACTCTGGCTCAGTATGGAGCGCATTCCTGCGATGGATAGAAGAACAAAGACAAGTCAAAAGCTGGGAGGAGGAAGTTGCCTGGACAGCCAAGAAAACCAGCAGTAAGAGACCAAGAGCAGGTATCATTGGATTCTTATTTGCAGTAATGGTTCATCATGTATGGGCAAAAAGAAATGCGAGAAGATTCAAACAACAAAAAAGGGGTGAAGGGAAGCTGATTCGAGAAATCATACAGCAGCTGCATATATATGGTCAAAAATTTTATACTAGTTGGAAGAGTCACTTAGATTGTTTGAATAACTACCCTAGATAGATTTGAGTTGTTATAGTGATGTACAGTTTTAGTGATCTAAAGTTAGTTCTATAGTAGTCATAGTTCTGATTCTCTTGAGATTTGACTCATGAGTCAAACTGAGTCACATGTACATATTGATACTTGGTTAAATGAAAATTTTCCTTTTAACCCAAAAAAAAAAAAAAACTTCTTAATTGTCCTCATGACAAATAAATTCAAAAGTAAACATTAGAATCTTACAGACCTCCTTATGAGAAAATTTATTATGGATTTTATCTAGCTAAGATGTACAATACGATTAAATCTGAGAACTAGTTCATCAAAACAAACTAGAGGATTTGGATAATACGTTGTTTGGCTACACCAATAGTGAGAAAGATATTTAATTTGGTCTGAATCTAAAGCAATTGATAAATACCATAAGAAACTTTATTCTTTCAGGTTACCAATTGTGTAAATTCAAAATTTAATTAGAAACCTTTCAGATTTAACAAGATTCCTACCTTATTATTGAGAAAGTAAAAGGTTCTTTTTTACTCCATAGATTATTTAATATATAAATTACAATAAAATATCATTTCTTTATAAGTTATTTTCGGTTCCGTGTTCAATTTGTCCCTATTACAACCAGATCAAATTGTATCAAACTATTATTCTTCTATTACTTCCCACAACGTTGACACTAGGCTCCTTAAGAAAACAAGATATGTACTTGTGGATTTTCTCTAGTGACTATTTTATAGGGGTACTTTTTACAGGTGTTAGTATAGAGTAATTGTCAAGAAGACCTCTTCAACACTTAAATCGGTCAAGTGACCTCCCATTTTCTTTCTCAATTTCTTTTGGGTTGAAAAATGGTTAAATGAGTTGGTTAAGGTGGATGGAGCCTTTTTAACATTTTAAAAACTTGTGGGTCACCTATAAGGTTTGAAAAATAATATTTCTCTCTTATTTTTCCTCCCAAATTCTCTCTCATCTCTCTACTCTCTCTCTCTCTCTCTGCTCTCTCTCTTCTCTCTCTTCTCTCTCTCAATCAACCCCCTCGACCACAGTGGTTTTCGGTGGGAAGGGACAAGAATCAAGCTTTGATTTTGGGTGGAATCATCTTTATAGACCCAACAAGCACTGTATTAAAGCTTAGAACGCGTCAATTTTGGTAAATTCTAAATTCTTCTTTTTTCATTTCTTACATTTTTTATTTCGGATTTTGTAGAGTGATTCGTTCATGTGCATGTTCAAGATTGATTGGATTGTGTATAACCATATCTTATATGGCGTGGGTGATTATATTTGCTTCTTGGACTACCTCTGTGCTCTGTATTTTAGAATTTCGTCGTAATTGGCGACCTAATGTTTATTAATAAACCTGTGGTCAATTGTTTTCTGTTCATATATGTTTGCTGGAATTTAGGCTTATTTTTTTTATTCTGATCATAATTTTGAAATTATTAAATGTGACATTGTGTTTTTGTATATATGTAACATGAGGAAGACATCAATTGCTAAGACGCATATTCCTTCAACAAAGAAGGCAATTGCACAAACTCCAAAGCCTTCAAACATGAAATGAAATGCAGAAATACAAGAAGCATCGCCAAGTAAAGCAAATATTGAGCCTTTAAAAACTGCTACTAGGAAACAAAATGTAGATACTTCTAAAGCTCCCCCTAAAGGAAATGCCGAGATTTTTAAGCGTGATAGGAGGAAAAAGAACAAAGAGCCATCAAAGTATATCAGTAAAAATAGAACAAGATCAAGATCTAGATTAGTTGATGAGGACATACATGTTAGTAAAAAATCTATTTCAAGGAAGTTAGCATTAGAGGGTGTTGATGAGGAGGAGGAAGAAGACTTGGACATAAATTCAGTACAAACTCAAATAGAAGAACAAGTTTTCGAAAAAATAATTGTCGAAGAAGAAAAAGACAATGATGATGAAGCTTTAGGTGGAGAAGATGGTGAAAATGGTGATGCTCAGGAAGTTGATAAAAATGCTGAAGAAGAAACATAAGAAGATGTAGCAGAAGAAGGAGATAAAGAAGATCATGAACAACTTGAAGATGGTGAAGATGGGCTAGAAAGTGAAAAACATGCTGCAATTGAAGGTGACCAGGATGCTCTGTCAATTCCTATGTTTGTAAGGGCGATCGACATATCTAAATATAAATTCAGGACTTTTCTAAGAAAATATAGACGTTTCCTGGCCAAGATTAGAGTGAGGTCTAGGATCAATTTATTCCATGAGTTCAAAGATAAACTTAGAATAATCAAATTAATGAAAAAGTTTGATAGTAGTTGTTTTGTACCGTTTGCAAAACTTTCAGAGCACTAGACATGTTTCAATGGACAGCTTGTCCATTCCCTATTGATTCGCCAAATTTAAGCGCGAGTTATGATTTTTAGTTGGAGATAAGCATGTTTACTTTGGATTAAAGGAGTTTATTCTGATGACTGGATTGAACTGTGGTGCCAAACCCAGTAAAGAAGAAATGAAGAAAGTGATGGATGATGGCAAAGCATTTTGCGACAAAGTTTGCCAGTCTAGGAGGAAGGGGAGGATGCAGAGCTGCTTTTGAAACAGTTGAAGTCCAAGAAGTTTGACACAGCCGAGAGGTTTAAGATTGTATTGGTGTGGTTTGTCAATTCAGTCTTGCTTGCAACGGATAACATACGCGCGTCGATAAGAAGTGGATTCGTAAGGCTAACAATCTGAAAGTTTTCATAAAATATCCATGGGCCAAGGAGTGTTTTGAGCTTACAATTGTGTACTTGAAGAAAGATATGTTGCCAATGTACTAATCATATGTGAGCAAAAGAAAGGAAAATAAAATCTTTGGTAAAAAGTCCAAATCGACTAGTTATGTCCTGTACGATGTCCCATGGGCATTCATGGTAAGTATTAAAAAAACTTTCTCAAAATTTCTTTGCAGTTGAGTACTATTATTTTATTTACTGCAAACAAAAATTAATACTTTTTGGTTGATGAAAAATTGTAAGCATGGGCGTATGGAGCAATTCCGCTATTTGGTTGTAGTGCCGAGAAATCAAAGGTCGTATCGATGCCACTGCCAAGGATGTTTAGATGGCACAACAAGAAAGTGATATCTGACCCTGATTGGGATTCCTTTAAGCAGAGACTTGATGACCCTGGTGTGGTAATATAGGGAGTGCAATAATACTCCAACAGTAGATTAGAATCAACCAAGTAGGAGATGGATATGGACTACATGAAGAATTTGATACCATACGGCGATGAGGTAGCAAATCCTATAATCGACCAACTAGCGGTTGATTTGGAATGGGTGACTACCATTAAAACGACACCTGGTGCAGTGAGCTTAGAGACTTATGATGAAGTTGAAATTGTTGACGATGACCCTTTGGGTGGGAGTATTCCTAATTCACCACTAGTTGATAGTTTTTTCTGATATTGGTAGAGGAAGACCATATATGATGTGCAATGCTCAGCCAAGTGATACAGATGTGTGCGAAGAGTTGAATGTTATGAATGACAAATTAGATAAGGTATTGAAGATCCTTGGGGGAGATGCAAAATGAGAATGAGAGCCCTTCTAAAGTAGTTGAGTCATCTTGGTACATGGTTACAAGATAGCAAAGCAGATTGAGGAATGCTCCAATTTCTGCAATTAAGATGAGGAATTCACCAATTATAGGCTTAGGTTGATACCGATATAATTTATACTTTATACTAATCCATTTTATCCAATTCAAAGTTTACAATTTGTTGAATTAGATGTTTACAACTTTAAGTTATTCACAAATAATTATTATTTTTTAATTTAAGATAACTAAATTAATACTTTACACTAACGAACAACTAATAATCGAGGACCCACTCCTATTCTTGTCCAATTTATGACTGTTATACCGTTCTTAATTTTTTACTATGAAATTCTATTGTTTACATTTACAATAGATCTATAGACCACCAGTGGGGTAGACTATATACTATAGGTTCATTCAACAACTCTTGTGAAATTTTCAATTCATTGGCAAGAAATTCAAATATTTGGAAGACTGAAATTTATATCCCCTGAGTTGTATGTTTCAAATGAAAAAAAAAAATAACCAAAGCATAAAAATAAAAAACAGGGCAACAAAATTCAAAAAATAGGGCAGAAAAATAAATAGACAAAAACTTAAATTAAATATTTTTATTAAATAACTCCCCTCACAGCAGCATACATTTTTTCCCATTAACTAAAGAAAAAAAATTAAACTGCAGGGGGAGAAGGACATAGGGAGGAGAATTTTCTGGGCTAACATAGTGGTGAATATTTGCACCAGCCCTACGAAGGAGAATCTATAACATGCGTGCGATACAACGAATGTTCCTCTCTTGCCTCACCCTATTTTCTTGGATCTCTCGGATGAGTCTATCTAGTGATTACCTGATAAAAATAG